AACATATCAAAAGCCTTGTTAGTCACATTTCCCAAACACTTGCTCTGGTACAATTTTACGACGGCATCCAATTTTTTATACTTCTTGCATCCTGGATACAACTCCTTATCAGCTTGTTCAATTAACTTAAAAAATTGCTCTGCATCGGGTGTTCGACCATCAAAAACAGGCTGCCTCGATGACCCTACGTTCTCACCAATATTTGGTTGCACAAATGTCTCATTAAGGAAATCATGCATTTCACCTACATCTCCTCCTTCAGTAACATCCATTTCCATGACATTTGTTGATTCAACGTAAGGCTCACCATGATGTGTCCATCGAGCATTCATGTATAAAGGGTCCATTCCATGCCAAAGAAGATGTCCCACCACAGTCATCTTATCTTCAAAATAACGATTACAACATTCTTTACAAGGACACGTGATCTTATCTTTACGACTAGACTTGGCAAGGGCTTCATCTACAAATAAGTTCAACCCTGCAACATAATCTGGACTTCGGCGATCAAAATGTACCCAACTTTTATCCATTATTTAACTATTTTGCAGAACAGAACACCAAATTGAACCTATTCACACGTGCAAAACCTAATCAGTCAATGGTCAGAACTAAGTAAAAATGGAAAGTGATAGAGACAAACATCAAACTCCTAATGTAAAATGGAGAATACAACAGAAGTGAAAACAGTCTATCTGATGCATCAAGTTTGACATCAGTTTGTATTGTATAATTAGATGTATGGTATCTAAAAAATATTAATTCTATTTTGGTTTGTAAACTCTTTGAACATGTTCAGATAATTAAACATTCTCCTACAACTATTATTTTGGATTTCTCATTTCACCTATGCAAATAATTACAGTAGTTAAGCATAAGATCCAGGTAACATTCAGCAGTAACCACCAAATATTGGGGAAATTGTTTTTAGAGCTTTTGATATGTGCCAGATCAAGTGTTTGGGAAATGTGCCTTATTAGTGTGAATATGTGCCTTATTAGTCAATAAAGAACAAATAATAGTTGAGATATTTCCAGATGTTACTTCATAATATGTGCCTTAATATTCATGGCTGATTATAGGACAAATAAGTTGGGAGAAGAATATTGAAAGCCTCAAGAGGCAAAAAATGAATCACACTGGTAGCTCAAAGAGCTTCGCACGACACATGACTGATTATGTAAGTTAACACGAGACCTCCTTTTTTTCTTTAGACTGTGATGTCGTTTCATAGAATTTGTCATGTTTTATTTTGTGTTTGGGGAGCATTGAATTCAGGTACTCAAAATACACATTTTTGACTAACAAATTATGGAAATATCTCACCATTTAATGAGGTTAGATATTTAGTATCCTGATATCCATTATGGAACTTGTTTTATTCACAACTGTACCGAAAACTAACTTCACCCATATTATATCTTCTCCAGAATATAAAATTATTATAAAATTTATAATGTATATATGCATATACAGCTACAAATTCATATAGTCCGCAAAGAAAACTGGCCATTCAACCTTGGAATCTGTAACATTATTATTGATGGGATTCTGGTCTTATTCAGGGTATTTGACGTTTCTCTATGCATGTTTGAATTTTTTTAACAGGTAAAATCATGTTAAAAAAATATCTGCATCCTAGCATTTGTGGATTAATTTATGAGGATATGTCTATATATTGTGATCGACCTTTATTCTATGTAGACCTGCTATTTTATATAGTTTGCTTCTTCATTCCAGTTCTTGGCTCTATAAAAATGCAAATTTGAAGGAAAAAGTCACTCATAGTTAAAAAATTTGTCTAATAGCTGGAGTACTGAAAAGTAAAAATTTGTCCAATAAGAAATATAATAAAAAGAAATAAACTCAATAAAAGTCAATGGAATAATCATGATGCTAAAATAACTCTAAAAAAATAGAATTACCTTGAGGGCACACTTGCAATGGTGGCAACGAAATTATACTGAAAAAAAAAATTATACTAACATTAAAACAATTATACTCAAAAAAATATAAAAACAAAGATGATCTCACGCTCAATTACACTGAAAAAATAGTCTAATCTAAGATTTTTTTTTAATTTTCTTAGATAAAAATAAAATTAAATCGTCTACAAATCTAAAATTAATCGTTCTACAAATTAAACATGGCCCAGTCCTCTTCTCCACAAATCTAAAATTAAACATTCTACAAATCAAACAATACTCTAATCTAATATGATAATTAAACATTCTAATCTACGTTGAAAATCAAATCATCTACGCGTGAAGATTGGGAGGCCGACAGGTACACAAAAATAAAAGAAAAACTTACCGATCGAGGAAGAGGTAGGGCCGCTCGGATCTGATACGTTCTTCAGAGATCGATGTAGGGCCGCGCGGTTGTTTTTTATTTTTTTTTTGCGGGGGGGAGGGGGGAAAGAGACGGCATGAGTTGATTCTAGGGTTTAGATAATATTAGGGGCAGAACTTTGTGCCTCTGTCGCGATCCGCGCGGGGATTTTTATTTTCGGGGAATAGAAGGGGCGCGGGTTTGGTTTGTAGGGTTTAGAAAACATTAGGGGCGGATATATATGCCTCTATTTAGTCCAAATTACTTAATTTGACGCCTCTATTATTTTTAATTCCCGCCAAACTTGTAGGGGTATTATGAAGTGCCCCAAATAATAATAATAGGCACATATTCAACATCCGCACCTAATTCATAATTAATAGGGGCAAATCACTATTTATGCCCCTAATAGATCGCCCCAAATGCTCACTTTTTTTGTAGTGCCCTACAGGGGAGCATTGAATTCAGGTACTCAAAATACACATTTTTGACTAACAAATTATGGAAATATCTCACCATTTAATGAGGTTAGATATTTAGTATCCTGATATCCATTATGGAACTTGTTTTATTCACAACTGTACCGAAAACTAACTTCACCCATATTATATCTTCTCCAGAATATAAAATTATTATAAAATTTATAATGTATATATGCATATACAGCTACAAATTCATATAGTCCGCAAAGAAAACTGGCCATTCAACCTTGGAATCTGTAACATTATTATTGATGGGATTCTGGTCTTATTCAGGGTATTTGACGTTTCTCTATGCATGTTTGAATTTTTTTAACAGGTAAAATCATGTTAAAAAAATATCTGCATCCTAGCATTTGTGGATTAATTTATGAGGATATGTCTATATATTGTGATCGACCTTTATTCTATGTAGACCTGCTATTTTATATAGTTTGCTTCTTCATTCCAGTTCTTGGCTCTATAAAAATGCAAATTTGAAGGAAAAAGTCACTCATAGTTAAAAAATTTGTCTAATAGCTGGAGTACTGAAAAGTAAAAATTTGTCCAATAAGAAATATAATAAAAAGAAATAAACTCAATAAAAGTCAATGGAATAATCATGATGCTAAAATAACTCTAAAAAAATAGAATTACCTTGAGGGCACACTTGCAATGGTGGCAACGAAATTATACTGAAAAAAAAAATTATACTAACATTAAAACAATTATACTCAAAAAAATATAAAAACAAAGATGATCTCACGCTCAATTACACTGAAAAAATAGTCTAATCTAAGATTTTTTTTTAATTTTCTTAGATAAAAATAAAATTAAATCGTCTACAAATCTAAAATTAATCGTTCTACAAATTAAACATGGCCCAGTCCTCTTCTCCACAAATCTAAAATTAAACATTCTACAAATCAAACAATACTCTAATCTAATATGATAATTAAACATTCTAATCTACGTTGAAAATCAAATCATCTACGCGTGAAGATTGGGAGGCCGACAGGTACACAAAAATAAAAGAAAAACTTACCGATCGAGGAAGAGGTAGGGCCGCTCGGATCTGATACGTTCTTCAGAGATCGATGTAGGGCCGCGCGGTTGTTTTTTATTTTTTTTTTGCGGGGGGGAGGGGGGAAAGAGACGGCATGAGTTGATTCTAGGGTTTAGATAATATTAGGGGCAGAACTTTGTGCCTCTGTCGCGATCCGCGCGGGGATTTTTATTTTCGGGGAATAGAAGGGGCGCGGGTTTGGTTTGTAGGGTTTAGAAAACATTAGGGGCGGATATATATGCCTCTATTTAGTCCAAATTACTTAATTTGACGCCTCTATTATTTTTAATTCCCGCCAAACTTGTAGGGGTATTATGAAGTGCCCCAAATAATAATAATAGGCACATATTCAACATCCGCACCTAATTCATAATTAATAGGGGCAAATCACTATTTATGCCCCTAATAGATCGCCCCAAATGCTCACTTTTTTTGTAGTGCCCTACAACAAATTATAAGGTTCCTTACTGCATAAACTCCCTCTCAAGAAAGTTTAAAATTTGACACCTTTGCCTCTGTCTTACTTAGGAGTTCTATATCGATCCCTCAATCACTTTCTCTAAAATCAAATTAGGAGTTCTATATCGTCCCTCAAATCACTTCTTCTAAAAAATTTTGATTTTTTGACACGTTGGTGTTATGACATTACTTTTGTTCCTTAAAACCCTCTTAAAAGTAAAAAATTATCTTATGATTCCTTGATTATAGCTTAATCTCTCAATCCAATCGTGACAAGTATGAACTAGTATTTTGGTGTAGTCGATGCGTGCATGACGTAGAACGTGGGATAGTATTGTACACAAATTGTCAAGAAAACAGATGGTTTATTACTTCTTCTTGTTTTTATCTTTATTTTTATTTTCTAACTGCTGGAGCATTTCCTTTGATATTTTCTCAAGTGCGAGGGTATTTCCGTTGATTTATCCAAGTGAGGGAGGGGATTTCGGTTTAAGTTTTTCAGAGTGTGGCAGCATTTCAGTTGATTTTTCTGTGTGTGACTTTCCATAGTTTTTTCAAATATAAGTACATTTTCGGTATTCTAAAATGAAGCTCACGCGACTGGAAGAAGGGCTTTTTTAGCTAGTAGTATAGATGTATTCGCTCACGAGAATGTTTTAAACATGACACCTTTGCTCCTATCTTAGGATTTCATCAGCAAATATGGATCATCAGCAAGGGCACAACCCTCCTCCTGTTATGGGGGTTGCAGCCCAACTCCCTTACCAGCTGCCAACAGCTGCGTCCACCGCCACGCCTACAAGCCCTACCACACCTCTGCCAACAACAGCAGCAGCAGCAGCAGCAGCAGCTCCAAGCTATTCTGGGCCGACCAGTACCGCGAAATCGAGCAAACCACCGACTTCAAGAACCACAGCCTCCCCCTCGCCCGCATCAAGAAAATCATGAAAGCGGACGAAGACGTCAGGATGATCGCCGCTGAGGCCCCCGTGGTCTTTGCACGTGCATGCGAGATGTTCATCTTGGAGCTTACTCACCGGTCGTGGGCCCATGCTGAGGAGAATAAACGGAGGACTTTACAGAAGAATGACATTGCTGCTGCGATCACGAGGACCGATGTGTTTGATTTTCTTGTGGATATCGTTCCGAGGGAGGAAGGGAAGGAGGATATGCTCGGGGCTGCTGCTGGAGTGCCGAGGGCTCTTGTGGGGAATGATCCTTTGTCCTACTACTATGTTCAGCAGTAGGAGATCGCAGATGCGAGTGTTTCTTTAATTATGAATTTGGCTTGGGCTTGATTTTTAATTGTATGGGAGTAGTAGCTTGTCATAGATTTGCTTGGTGATTTGGGGTATTTTATGATGTTTTTATCACCCATTTGAGCATGTGCTTGTTCTGAATGGGAAGAATATGTTTTCATGTTGTGTACTATTGACAAACAAACCGATGATGGTTAATTATGAGTTTGATAGTATCTCATCTGGGGCTGGGTGATTTTGTGCTCTGTGGATATACAAAATGCTTCTTGATGATAAATTTGCCAGGGATGCTTCTTGATGATGGATTTGCTCGGTCCAGAGAACTAAACTGGTTTAAGTCGAAATTTGCGTACTGTCTGCAATTCGCAAGCGATGAGAAGCTGAATAAGGTTTTATCATCCGAACTTCATACGAGTGTTTTTCGAGCTATTGACATAGGTGTGCATGTCTCCGTGTTACTCTTCTATATGAGGGTAGGCCATGAGATGGGATCTGGTTTAATCTTGGATTTGTATCTTTCTGTTTTCTGTGTATTATACTGGAGGATGGCCACTCCCCTGCTACGGTGGTAGTATAGTAATTTCCATGCTCCCTCTACGGATTCAGATTGCCCCGCACATTACAGGGTCTGGGTCTGATAGGATACTTGCTCTACAAAGAGTTTACGAAAAGCAAATAATAACGATAAAAAAAACATAAATATTGAAGAACTCTGTCAATTCCAACAAATTGGTTATACTTTAAAATAATTGGTGCGCAAATTATAAGATTATCGACCATTCTATTTTCTTTTCCGGGAATTTACGTGTATTATTCTCCCAAAAGGATTTGTGTTATGTCAAGCTATTGGAAATAGACATGTACGCGGAATTTGTTACATTCGTGCAGTACGCAAGTCATACTTGGATTTATGTTTTTCATAATTATTGATTTATTAATTAAGGATTATTTTTCCGTTTAGCAGTTCACTTTGCAAGTCAAACTCAAGAATGATAAGAATCAGCCAAGGTCTTCACAGTTTTTTGTTAACCTACTGATATTAGCCTTACCACATGTATTAGGTTTTCCACACGAATGAGGTTATTTCACAGAAAGTATTTTTTTCCATTTTCAAATTTTATGTTAATCACTTTTAAAGGGAGTCTTTGTTCCAATCAACCACCTCCTAGTCAAATCTTAACTTAAAAAACTTAAATACACGTTTAAAGTATGTGACTTGTATCCTAACTAGACCTAAAAACATACGAAGTGAGTTGTGTGCTTTGAATGTGAGATTTTAGGGGTACTTTTAGGTTTTTAGTGAAAATATTGATTAGGATGTGGTTAATGGGAACTAAAACCTACTTTAAAGATGGTTTACGTATTAATTGAAAATGAATGTTGGTTTCTATGAAATGACCCTATTTTAAGGTAGTTTTTAGGGGAAAACCTCTTTATATTAATCTTGATGCATGTAATGGATTTTGAAAAACTCATAATAAAATCTTGTTTGTTGTAATGGATATTAAGGAGGATTTGCAGGAAGAATAAAATCCAATGTTTGGTTGTACATGGATTGGATATGTGATTAAAATCACAATTCTGTTTAAAATCAGCATGATTTTTGGGAATCACATATGACACATTGTTATGGTGTTTTCAATCACCAAGTGCAACCCTTTGCTAGCAACGGACATGTGTACTTCTGCGTGCAATGTTCCAATCAAATTGGCGGTCCAAGACCAACAAGGGTTCCAACTTAGCCAACTCGTCGAGTCGACATTCCTTTATGTTGACTCGAAAGGAGGTACTAGTTGACCCGCTTGTCGAAGACGATTCGCAACGAGCCCACTCGACCTGCTATTCGACGCCTCCCGATGACGATTCGAAATGCGTTACTTCTCGGCCAAGCTAAAGGGCTTTGGCCTCGAGTTCCCCCTACTAATAGCGTCGACGTCGCATTTAATGTTTGGCAGGTGTCATCATGCCTCTAGCCCCGATAGTCTTCATAACTCATCGGACCACGTCGGGCACCGCCATGTCTTCGATCACTTCCTATTTAATGCTGAGGTGATCTCTCCTCTAATCGTCAGCCGACACCTGTAAAGCAGGAGCTAACTCAACTGCCAGCCCATGCTTTTTTACTGTCATCCTGTGCTCGGCCATAATGATGGTTCTGCCCTTTCGACACTACTGTAAATATAGGTACTATTCTAACTTACAAAAGGTTAAAAAATTTGATCTTCGGAGATAGATATGCAAATTACTGCACACACAAGAACTCTCACAGTTCTTCAGTTTTCCCACTCAAGCTCACCAGCTGACTTGATCGTCGGAGGAACCACAGGGTAACCAATCCCCATCCTCTCACGAGTTTCTATATGTGTAGACTTTTTAGCCACTCAACTCATAACTGAATATTCGGGAAAGAAAATGACCCCCTCATCAACTTCACTCCCCATCCAACCACGGATTTAATTGATTTTGTGATCACTTAACATCAACACGCATCTATCTTATATGATAACCCTAAATATGATGTACAAAAAATGCAAAACGAACGTGTGTTTGATGAAAATATATTATTTTAAACATGTGGATCCCATTTTTCAATGCAAAGCCCATAAAATGCATGGGAAAAACATTATTTTATTTTTCCTTAAAAAATATTGTTATAACCACTTTAGTGATGAAAAATAATCTCCAATTAATGGCGAACAAGTGTCCCACATTATGTGTAATCAAGTGAGTAATTCAAGATAACCAAAGGCCCAATTCGGTCGACTCGACACGCCAACATTTTGTGAGGACGACTCGAAAGGCGTCACGTGTCGACCTCTGCCTAAGTCGACTGCTTAATCACCTCACTCGACCGACTAATCAGCCGACATCTTGCAATGACAACTCAAAAGGCGGTACTCCTAGACCACCTGATGAGTAAAAAGACGACGAAATGTCTCGAGCCCCCTCCCGCGTACTGGCGACCAATCATCTCGCAATAAATGTCATTAAATACATTATGGGCGCTATCATTCCTTTGCCCCCAAAAGTCTTTATGACACATAAGACCACATCGACACCGCACACCCCAATCACTTGGGATTAAATACCGAAATGGCATCTCCTTCACTTGTCGGCCGACACTTGTAAAGCAGAGGCTGACGTAACCGCTATCTCATACTCAGTCGAAGTTACCATTCTACCACTACTATAAATAGGGATACTATTTTCAATAACAGGGTAAGATCTTTACCTCTACCCACTGTGCTTAAAAATTACTGCAGTTCATTTTACTTCTCCACTCAAGCAAATCACTGATTTGATCGTCGGAGGAACAATCGGGGAACCCAACCCCCCGCCCTCTTACGATTTTCTACTTATGCAGGGAAAAACAGCTTACACCAGAACCAGACATTCGGAGGGTTAGAGGACCTCCATCAACTTAATCACTCATTTTATTTGACTGTTTGATATCAGACATCAACAAAAATATAGAAGTTTTACACTGGGAATTCTTTATTGATGCATAACAGACAATATGTGTATTTTCATTCATTTAAAAAAGTATTTTCATGTCATGGACTATAGACATAACCACAACATTAATAGGCGACATATGTGATATGGATGATTTTCTCATGTACAATAATGTGGAGAATCTCAAACAATTTGTATGTGGATTATTTTCACCAAATTAAGTTACGTTTTTTTCAACCTATGTGAGTCAGCCTCAAAACTTTCATATTTTGAAATCAGTCCTCCAAGTCTTGATAGTTTTGAATTAGTGTTTCTAGGTAGCAGCTAGTTTAAAGACGAGGAACCAATTCAAAATATATAGATTTGGGCGTCTAATATCAAAACACTTAAAAGAGTTTTGGGGGGCTTATTTCCGAAACATAAAGATTTGGCGGACTAATTTGATAATATGAAAGAGGAAGGCGGTTGGGGGGCGCTAGTACCCATCGGCACGTGCACATCACGTGCTAATAGCCACTCCGAAACCTTCTGTCAACGTGTGAAAAAAGACCCAATTCAGTCGCGCCTCTCAGAGAGCAGCAATGGAGGAGAAGCCCGTTAACTTCAAAACCCTAATCTCGAGAGAATACCAAGGCCACAAAAAGAAGGTGAATTCGCAATCAAAAATCCATCTTTCTCTGTGCATTTTCATCTCCTCAATCCCTAGTAAAATGGGTCTTCCTTCAATTTGATGCTAAAAATCGTCTAGAAACCCTAGAATCTCCGTAAATCAAACTCTAAAATCGATCAATTGGTACTGAATTTTTTTATGAAGGTTCACTCTGTAGCGTGGAACTGCACTGGAACAAAGCTCGCATCGGGCTCCGTTGATCACACCGCCAGAGTTTGGAACATCGATCCCAGTGGCCATGTAATCTTTCTAATCCTCTAGGGTGAAATTTTTATTGATTTTTTTGCGTAAATTCTGTTGAAAGTTTTGTTTTGTGTCCTTAATTTAGGGGAAAGTGAAAGATGTTGAACTGAAAGGGCACACGGATAGTGTGGATCAGTTGTGTTGGGATCCTAAGCACAATGACTTGGTCGCAACTGCGGCAGGAGACAAGACGGTCCGTCTATGGGATGCTCGTAGTAAGTGTCCTCAAATCCTTTGACTTGCGTTTTGATGCCGTTTACGGTGAAACATTAGCATGAATATTGAAAAGAACAAATTTTCAAAACAGTCCCAAAAAGATTTTTTTTTCAAAATCGACCCGGTTTTTTTTATTTACCAAAATCGACCCGGTTTTTGCCACGTGGGCTTAATGAAGTTCCTAAACAGTCGGGGTTGGCAACCCCGACTGTTTAGGACATGCAAATTTTGGGTTTAAGGACATTAATTAGGGTTTAACACTCTCCTAAACAGTCGGGGTTGCCAACCCCGACTGTTTAGGAACGTCATTAAGCCCACGTGGCAAAAACCGGGTCAATTTTGGTAAAAAAAAATGGGTCGATTTTGAAAAATAAAAAAAATTTTGGGGCTGTTTTGAAAATTTGTTCATATTGAAAAATTAAAGATTTTTGTACCTCAATTGCATAGTTATCTGACTGTTTTATTGTGATATATTCAACTAATTTAAATATATATTGAAACAGCATAAAAGAGAATTATGTGTTTTACCCCTTTTCCGTTGGAACTTTGAATCTCAATGGTAGTTGCAGTCGCATTAGCTCTAGTATTTTTCCTGCGTTTTTATAGAAAAAATTGCTTTTTTTCTGGTGAACTATGGTTGGTCAGCATTTTGTTTTGCATGTTATGGGTGTTTTATGGTATGTAGGAATTTTATGTTGTATAATTGTTATGTTGTCTATGGCTGAGTGGTAGCTTCATCCTACATCCTCCAACAACAAAAAAGGCGAGAACTTTTGCTGCACCTGAAATTTGGATTTTGGCAGTTATCTTTGTAAAATAATGGGTTTAGGCAATATGTTCTATGATTCCACCATTTGAAGGACCGATCAGCGACTTCCCCATTTTGCTTAATTTTGAGGTGTATATAATACGGTGTCAAAATGCTTACAAATATCTTAATACTAATTACTAAACATCCTCTGGTACGTGTAAGTTTAACGTAAGAGAGCCTGCCTAACTGAAATAGGCACATCTGGTGTGGTCATACATGACTTTGATATTGATTTTTTTGTAGTCTCAAAACATATGTAATAATAGAGTACATTGTTCCTACAAATGATAATTGTCTTATAAATAATGTTCCTGCTTAGGTTCTTTCATTTATGAATACCAACACAATAAATATAATTTTATGACTGCATATAAATGTATTACAAAAAAATCATATATAATCATGTAACCGTGTAACAGTTACGAAGAATTGCTACCGGTATATTGTGTCTGTGTTGTAGCACGATACTTGTGGTTGTGATTATAAATAGTTAGAGAACACATAAATTTTGGTTTCTTTGAAATGTGCAAAAATAGGGCATGTTTCCTATGATGCATCTTAGAAACTCAGTTACTCCTTGCATGAATGTAACTCTTTTGGTGCTTTTACTTTTCTGGATTGCTATAGCTGCTAAAGAGACAGTTCAGTTTTATAATTACTTGTTTTTTAAAGGTTATCTGCTTACTAATATCTGGTTTCTAGGTGGAAAATGCTCTCAACAGGTTGAACTCAGTGGAGAAAATATCAACATCACTTTCAAACCTGATGGTACTCATCTAGCTGTTGGAAACAAGGTAAATAAAACAGATTTTATTTAAGGAGAATGTTTATTTAAAGACTTTCTTTCCTTTATGGTCCTCTGACACATTTTGATAATGAATTGAAGCAACACGTGATAAACTCACGTCCAGTACATGAATGCGAAAGCAATATCAAGCACATGATCATAACTATCAAACTTAAGCTATCTACTTCAGTTTGACACTTTGATTTCAATGATCACCCTTCACTGGCCAGTCCCATAAGGGCCAGATTCAAAAGCAGAATGCAATCCTTTCCTGCTCATCTATTGCAACTTCCATCCATGGAAGCTTAATTTATCCCTTCCTTTCCTGCTCTTTATTTTCCTGCTCATCTATTGCAACTTCCATCCATGGAAGCTTAATTTATCCCTTCCTTTCCTGCTCTTTATACATAATTCACATCTAAAAAAGTGTGAAAACATTACTCCTTATATTCCATAACCTCACCAAATTAGTCTAAGGTAAACCCTTCTCTTGAAAGATTCTGGACAATGAGTATAGTATCTATAGACTTTTCTCTATTTGCTCATTCAGTTACTTAATAAGGTGTTATTGGATTTCCTCTACACTAATATGATGTATTCATTATAACAATGTTCGAAGCCCTTGGGCGTTCGCTTTCAGATCAAGCTTTTTGGCCATAAGTACGCCCAAGTCATTGGCAGCTTAATACCTTACTGTTTGTGCAATTTATATAACACAACAATCAACAGAATCAGTGACTAGATTCCTAACTGATGTCTTTTGTGTGTGTGTGTGTGTGTGTTTTTTTTAAACTTCACCGCTTGATATTGATTATGATTTCTATTGGGTGTGCTATTTTTTGGTCTTGCAGGAGGATGAACTTACAATTATAGATGTTCGAAAGTTTAAACCATTGCATAGGCGAAAGTTTAATTATGAGGTATTTTCAATCGTAAAATAATTAATCAGTGTTTCTTTAGTCTAACCTCCATATGCTACTACACTTTCTTCTTCTTTTCCATTCCATTATAAATTGTTATTCTCATCTCTTGAAAAAGTCATCCGTGCAATTCATGTTTTCTTGACTTTTGCATTTTACAGTAATATTCCTTGAAGTAATTCAGTTCTACGCATAATGATTGTTTAGTTAAAATTGTGGTTCCTTCTTAAGTTGAGATAGTTGCAGAGGAGTAAACGTTGCAGCTAATACTGTACGAAAAAGTTCATGCAGCAGAACAGTTATGAAGCACATGGTTCAATTTAAGCTTAATTGCATGCTTTCCATTCATCCGAAAAGATTACCTAGGATGAATCAAGACTCAATACACATCCAGACTCTCTTTTCTTCATTATGTTATTCTCTACCTTCCTATTACTTGTTGTGAAAGCCAGCTTATTGTCATCTCTTGATCCCAGTCCATGTATCAAGATCCATTCATGTGTCCTATTTCAGTCATTCTATCTGTCTTATGGTGTGTTCCCTTCATGAGAAAAGCTTGCTTAAGACAAAACTTGCTTTAAGACTTCAAAACTTGGATTTACGAAAGACGAACAGCTGTGAATAAAATTAATATGCGGATGATTTCTGTAATTGTTTGGAGTGGTCCTCTAGGACAAAACTTGCTTTAAGACTTCAAAACTACTGAAATCTGTGCAAAACTTCTGTGGAGTATTCAAGCTGATTGTTCCTAAGGCTTTTTTGCCAAACATGTTATTGGAGTTTTTCCACACTTTTTCTGATGTAATGCTAATGCTCCAGGTTAATGAGATCGCATGGAATACGTCTGGAGATCTATTCTTTCTTACAACTGGGAATGGTGAGGTTAATCTTCATTCTATCTCATTCTCATCAAGCACTATTGTTTAGTGTCTTAGGCTTCTTTATCTGGAAGTGTCTGTTATATAGATTTAACCAAATTATGGCAATACATCATTATTACTGTCGTTAATATGACATGCATTACATCCTTAATGCCAAGTTTTATCTTGTACAGGGACTGTTGAGGTACTGGCTTATCCATCTCTTCGTGTACTTCACACCTTGATGGCTCATACAGCAGGCTGCTATTGCATTGCAATTGATCCCATGGGAAGGTAATTTGAATTTTCAATCATTCTAAGGGAGAAAGCCCAGTGCATTTTTCGAATGTGATCTTTTACATTATGAATAGGTTGTATGGTACTAATATTTTCTGTCATCACACATCCTAATTTGCATCAGTAGAATTGGTGTTGCATAACTTGTTAAATTTGTTGAAATGTTGAAATATGTGCACAGGTTTTTCGTTATTTTTGCATGTAACCAATTGTTCAATGTATGAATGCAGCAAGAAAATACGACAGTGTCACTTCTAACTATTAATCAATGTTACAGATACTTTGCTGTGGGAAGTGCTGATTCTTTGGTCAGCCTTTGGGATATTTCCGAGATGCTGTGTGTCAGAACATTCACAAAACTTGAGTAAGATTCTAATTTTTCAAGTCTTCACCTGTCTAAATTAGATCATGGACTGCTGTGGGTATTGTGTTGTTAGAATAGTTAGAATATCTGGAATTAAGTTTGTATGATGCACTACTCGTAATTCTTATCCTTATGTTTCCAGTTCACATCTGCAGTCAGTGACTGCCTAAATTCTTTCACCGTTGATCCAGGACCAAATGATATACACGAGTTGTTCAAAGCATAATTACTGTGACAATAATGAAAATATCTGAAATAACGAGAACAAATGGGAACCAGAGCCACAATTGAATTTAAATATGTTATCAGGAAAAGCAGTATCTTTTAGATTGATATTACCCGTACTAATGAAGAATACTATCTTTTAGATTGATATTACCCGTACTAATGAAGAATGTTCATTCTTTTTAAAGTAGTTTCTTGTTCATAATTCAGATGGCCGGTGAGAACAATAAGTTTCAACCACACAGGAGAGTATATTGCTTCAGCTAGCGAGGATCCCTTCATCGACATTGTAATAATTCTTATCAATTTCTGAACAGCTCTCACGATTTTCTCGAACCAATGTTTATGTAACAATACTTAGATCTCTTTTATGCTTTGTGGGCTTTAACCAGTCCAATGTCCAGAATGGTCGATCTGTGCATCAGATTCCGTGCAAGGCTGCGATGAACAGTGTGGAGTGGAACCCCAAGTATAATTTACTGGCCTATGCCGGAGATGACAAAAACAAATATCAGGCTGATGAAGGTAATTCTTGTCTTTCTATATCCTTTCCCATCTTTTGAGGATGAAGCTATTCAGGGAACTATAATCAAAATCTGCGGCTATAAAACTTCTCGATGAATAAATGACTGTGACAGCTGAAATAGCTTTAACTCACAACAGGGTATATTTTTACATCCTCGACAATGAAACGATCGGGTTAAAGTTTCTATAAATCCTTTGCGCAAGTTCTCATGAGCTGTATAATCAAATATTGCAGGTGTGTTTCGTATTTTCGGGTTCGAGAGCAGCTGAGGTTTCACGTTTATTGTGAGGCCTGTTTTCTGGTTCAGAAGTTCAGCGTCATATCCCTTGTGTTATTTCAGTCTTCAAATGTTCAACCGTCACCTCTTCAAATTGAATATCAAATCCTTTACTCATTAACTGAGGTTATATTATGTTACTATGTGCATACTTGACGGCTAAGCTATGCACAATATGTATTGCAATTGAAGAGGAAGATCTCCACATATTAGTGCTTGGAGTTGTAACAAAAACTGGTGGTTTTTTGAATGAAAATTCTAGCATGTTAGGGGGTGTTTGGTTACATTTCTATAAATTATAGGAAATGTTTTCCATCCCAAATTTGATTTCCTTGTATTTCTTAAATAAATTATAGGAAAAGTTTTGAGAAGTTAAAAAATACAAATTTTTTTATTTTTTGTATTGTGCTTGTTTGGTTCAAAACAAGAAAATGAGAAATAACTTTTGGAAAAATAGCAACATTTCCTATAATTTATAGAAATGTAACCAAACACGACCAACTTTATAGAAAAGTGAGAACTTTGTAGAAAAGAGTTAATGAGTTTTATTATTTAAATAATGAATGCGTCAGATTTCCAAGAGATTTCCTCCCATTTTAGAAGGAAATCAATTTCCATAAAATTTGGTACTTTTGGGCACTTTACAGAAAACATTTCTGTAAAATTTTTTGGAGCCAAACACAGTTTATAGAAATGTATAGAAAACTCTTAATTACATAAATGCAATGTGTCAGTACTTTTGAGAAAATATTTCTCAAAAACAATGCAACCAAACACCCCCTTAGCATAAACACCCCTTAGCATAAACATAAAATCTATGGTCTTTTCCTCCTACTATCTCCACCGCAAAGGACAAAGCTTTACAAAACACGTAAGTGGAATAGCCTGTGACTAAGCGATGCTGTGTATCATCGCGAGTTCAAACAGGCCTCTGTATTACCATTCTCAAGCATGCGAGCACTTGATGAATTCGAAGTCCCCTACGCCCCTCATCTGAGGCACAAGCACCTCATCAATCAAACCATACACCTCATCGACCCGAGGATGCACCCTATCCCCAACATAGAAAACATGACTACTCCGCCCCACCTCAACACTACTCACCCCCGCCACCTCCCCGCCACCTTCTCCACCCTCCTCTCCCTCATCCTCCTCCTCACCCTCGCCGCCTCCCCCCACTCCCCCCTCGACGCGTACATGTTCGCCAACAACGCATACACCCCCGACCCTGCCTCCTCTCTCCTCATCAACTCCTCTCCTATTTCGCTCGCCAAACTGATCTCATTGTGTGCAGGTTGGTGCGCCCTGCACGCCCCCAGCAACGCAACCAACACTCCTCCATCTCGGTCCTCAGGGGCCATTCTGCTGACGACAGCATTTGCCTCGTCAAATCTCCCTGCTTTGCCGAGTAGATCGACAAGGCAGGAGTAGTGCTCAGCTCGAGGTTTCAATTTGTATGCTCGGTCCATGGACTCAAAAAACCTTTGCCCCTTTTCAACGAGCCCGCAATGGCTACAAGCTGATAGCACCCCTATGAATGTTGTGCTATCGGGTACCGCTCCGCGTCTCAACATTCTCGCGAATGTTTGCAATGCATGGTGGCCTTGGCCATGATAAGAGTAAGCTAGGATCATCGAAGTCCATGACACAATGTCCTTAGCTTCGAGATCCTCAAAGGCGAGACGAGCTGAGCTCAGATCGCCGCTCCTCGAGTACATAGTGACTAGAGCGTTTGTGAGAGATGTGTCTGAGTCGAAACCAAGCGATTTGGCTAGCCCATGAATCACCATGATTTCAAGGGCATTCTCTAGTGCGACTAAGACGCTAGTTAGAGTAGTCTCGTTTGGCTTTGCCGGCGAGCGAAGCATGAGAATGAGGAGTTCTACTGCTTCGTTTTGAAATCCATTTTTCGCATAGCTATCAATCATTGCATTCCACGTTACTACATTCCTCTCTTTCATCGAGTCGAACAACTCACGGGCATCCACCATGAGCCCTTTCTCTCCGTACACAGTAATCATCGCGTTCCATGATGCAACGTCCTTTCTTGGCATGCGGTCAAAGATATCTCGTGCTCTCTCTATGGACCCGTTCCGTGCCAGCCCAGTGACCATTGTCGTCCAAGAAACCACATTCCTCTCAGTCATCGATTCAAACAACTCAACTGCTTCTTTCGGCTTCTCCGCACCCAGATACCCAGAAATCATCACGTTCCAAGAGTACAAGTTCCTATGTGGCATTCTATCAAACATCTCACGGGCCTCATCAATTCTCCCACTCTCAGCCAAAACCCTAACCATCGCTGTCCACGACACAACATTTCTCTCAGGCATTCGATCGAACATCTCCAAAGCTTCACCCAGTTGCCCATTTCTTGCATAACCCAACACCATCGTGTTCCACGAGTACACATTTTTATCGGGCATTCGATCGAAAATCTCCCTCGCCTTCGAAATCTCCCCAATTCGACAGTACCCAGACAACAAACTAGTCCACGAGAACACATTTCTTGAGCTCATTGAATCAAATAGCCTCTGGGCATCGTCAATTCGACCCGCCTTCGATAACCCATCGATCATCACGGAGTCAACGACTACATTCGATTTGGGCAATTGGGTGTAGAGGGATTCTGCTTTGAGAAGGTCACCATTCTTTATATAGAGGTTGATCATGGTGGAATAGGTGATGAGGTTTCTTTCAGGCATTTCATCGAACAGGTTGCGGGCTTCACCGAAATTGCCTTGGCGTACGAGAGCGGAGAGATTTTGGTTGAGAGTGAGGGTGTTCGGATTTGAATGGAGATTCCTGGGTTTTGATGAGAAGAAATTGATGAGAATTTGAATGTGAGAGGGTTTCGATGAGGGGAGGAGATGAGAGCGAATCAAGTTCATGCTTCATGTTACCGCTGCCGTCATTTTGTCCAGAACAAAGGCAGACGAGCGGGAGGAGATACATATAAATTGACAAATATAAAATCTATTTTAGGCCCCTGGTTCTTTTAGAATTTAAATTCTAAACCTACTAATCAATCCAATCTTCAGTTTAAAGTAGTCAGTTTGAATATTTCTCTATATTTTGTCCTTTTAGTAAACTTTCCCGGTGAACAGTAATCGGGTTTAAGAAATTCAGATCCGACCCGTAGCCTTCAGGCCGATATAAACACTAGAAGACGCATTTTTTTAAGAGTTAACCGAAAACAGACCCATGTAGTATTAGCCAATTGCATAGAGACCCTCTATAGATCCATTTGTTGTGAACAGATTCTCTGTAATTCTACTTGCGAATAGGTCCCCTAGGTGATTTTTTTTACTCATTAAAATTATTAAAAATGTTTGAGGAGGCGAATAAACCCCTATAATTCTATTGGCCAGTGTACATACCCCCAAATTGCTTTTTTTTTAATTATAAAAGTGTCAAGAAAGTTGACCGTGGGGTTATTACCCTTGGGCCAATACTAATAAGGGGTCTATTTGCAACAAGCAGAACTATAGGGTACCCATTTGAAATAAATAGAACGACAGGGGTCTCGTTGCAATTAGGTGATGGTGAAAGACAATTTTTTGAACCCCCTCTTTTCTTCTTTTTTTTCAAAAAAGAAAAGAAAACTAGCCGTTATTACCATCATCTTCCTTCTCTCACTAAGCCCACGATCCCCACCTCCTCAGCTCCCATACAGAGATCACTTCAAAACCCTAATCGCTCTCTCTCTCTCTCTCTCTCTCTCTCTCTCTCTCTCTCACTGCTGCAAGAATGTTCACCGAAGGGTTAGATCAGAATGCAATCAACTGGGTCAAGCAGGTCAGAGGAAAGAAAAAAAGAAACCCTAAACCCATTTCTAATTTCTTCAAATTTTCAATTACTGTAATGGGTTCAAAGGTCTGTCTTCAATAAAAAGGACTTTTTCTCACTTGAAGAAATCCTGTTTCTTGAGCTGATTTCTTTGTAATTTCTCAAAATTGGCTTTTTATCTTAAATTCCGTCTTATTGTTTTGATTCTTGAATGGGTTTCTTGATACTAGTTTGCTTCGATTTCTTTCTGGGGTTTTTTTCTTGAAGCCTTTATCTATGGTTGGTCTCGGGATTTTCTTGTTCAGGAATCGATTTGCACAAAGTTACCTAATTTAGGTTTTTTCCTTTTATATTTTCCTTTAAAACCAAGTTGCTAAGTTTTGTTTACCCTCCCAATTTGGGGTTTTTTATTTTAATTTTCGTATCCTTGTGTTGATTTTTGAATGGTTTCTTGATATTAGTTTGTGTCAGTTTCTTTTGGGTTTCTTTCTGAATCTTTTAGCTCTTGTTGGATTCAGGATTTCCTAATTTAGAAATCAATATTTTTACGAATTTTTTCCAGTGAAGGTTACTCAATTTAGGGTTTCTTAAAGCAAATTTGAAAACCAATTTGCTTAGTTTTGTTTACCCTCCCTATGGGTCAATTTCTTTTCATTTTCTCTCAAATGGCGCCCCCTTGGTTGTATCACACTGATTAATTTTTTTTCTGTAATTCATCATTTCCTTTAATTGATTAGTGTTTAATTGGTCTCTAAATACCTAGCTCTTTTGGCAAATTTGCATTGTGTAATGCAGGACACAGATGTAGCTCAGAGACCTCGCTCTCCCCTTACAGAATATCAAGCAAATTCATCTTCGAGTCTGCAGTTGTTATGCGAAAGCAGCAAATTTTACTCGCCAAAAAGTCTGCCTCCTTTAAAATTCAACTCAGGCTTGATATCCCCTGCAAAGTTGCATTCAGGTTTGTTAGGGCTTCAGCCGAGCATCTACACTGATTCAGAGGATGAGAATGAGAGCGTGGGTTCTCCCGAGGGATTTTATGCCCATTTTTCAGACAACTATGAGGATGAAGATTCTGAATCCTTCGACTCTCTGTCGTGTGAGAAATCTAAGAACGCAACTTATGATGAAGAGGTGATTTCAGCCCATGATCCTGCAATAACTAGGCAACAGCGCCCTTTGGCTAGAGGACTCTCTAAGGAGAACTTAAGGGTCAATGTAACAGCTGCTAGAAATTCCATCTTGGAGCAAAATGGACTGCCTGATTCACGAGTAAGCAATTTTCCTTCTTTTAAAAGGTCAATTATTGCTTGTACATAGTGTATTTAATACATGTAATTTTGCAGGGTTCTATTTATCATGATTGTATGAGCTCAAGTTTTCAAGAACTGGGTACACCGAGTGCACCTCCTATTGCTGAAAGTGAAATAGAAGGGAGTGAATTGGAAGTAGAAGGTACTAAATTTTGAAATAACAGAAATCAAGTCATAATCAGAACTACAAACTAATTTTTTCACATCAATATAACAGATCTCTCAAAGCCCACATATGAAAGTGTCAAAGTCTCGTCGGATTTGGGGATGCAGAAAACTGATGAACTACCTCCAAGGTATAACAATATACATACTCTCTACGGTTACACTTGTAAAATTTGAATAAGAAAATAGGTTAAGGAAATGGTGAATGAAAGCAATTCATTTGTTCTGTTTAGATTTATCTGGTTAAATTATTGTAAGATTGACATTTCCTATTCCTTACCTTCCTATTTGGAATATGAATACAGAACCACTTCTCGGGACGGAGACATGCTTTCTGATCAAATGCCATGTTATACTACAAGGTAAGCTCATCAACAAGTATATATTTTGATTCTTAAGTTTAAACTTCTCTTATTATTTTGTTGTTCATTTTGGTATCTTTATCATCAATAAAGCATCTACTTATTCGTTTTGCATGTTTGATTTTATCTGTTGTGCCAGTGTCCAGAGCGCATGGCAGAGCTTTGTGGCCTATGATGCATGTTTCCGCCTGTGCCTTAATTCTTGGGCGAAAAACTGTATTGAGGCAACAGAATTTCTTAGGGACGAGTGCATGGTTCTCCGTAATGCCTTTGGGTATGTAGTTACTAGCTTAGTGAAGTCCTAATTCTATTTCAGCCCAACTAGAATAACCTCTTTTTGTACATGCAGCATACAGAAGTTTTTGCTCCAACCACGAGGACATATTCAGGAGGGAGGGAGGTCGGATAATACAGAACGCACATGCAGTAGAAAAGGAAAGAACGTAATTGAACAGGTCAAGATTGAAGGTGAATATCCAATATTCTTGAATTTTATATATACATAGATTGAACAGGTCAAGATTGAAGGTGAATATCCAATATTCTTGAATTTTATATATACATAGACTAATATAAAATGACCTCTTGGTCTATTTCCACGAAGTATGCTTTTTTCCATGAAGTATTGCCTTTTTGAAATGAAGGTAAGTTATTTTAAGAACTTCATTATTTGAAATGAAGTACATTTCCATGAAGTATGTTCTTTTTTTTTGGGAAATTGATCCTACTACCCCTTCAACAAATGAACAAATCAAATTTAACTGTGAAATTAGATGCCTGTCTTAGTTCTGAGTTTGAATGTGTTATTTTTAGGGTTAATTGTGAATAAACACCCTGTACTATTGCCCAATTGCAGATACACCCCCTCTGTAGTTCTATTATTGCAGATAGGCTCCCAATGTGAAATTTTGACACCTTCAGATAAAGACAAATTTGTTTTTTGACAAATAGACCACTTGAGGGTAAACGAGTCTAAAAGATTTTACTTAAGGGTTCTATCTGCAATTGGGTGATAGCACAGGGGGTATATCCGCAGCAATAGAACTATAGGGGTCTATTTGCAATTGGGCGATAGAACACTAGGTCTATTTACAACAATAGATCTAAAGACAAATTTGTTTTTTGACAAATAGACCACTTGAGGGTAAACGAGTCTAAAATATTTTACTTAAGGGTTCTATCTGCAATTGGGTGATAGCACAGGGGGTCTATCCGTAGGAATAGAACTATAGGGGTCTATCTGCAATTGGGCGATAGAACAATAGGTCTATTTACAACAATAGAACTTCCATTCATTTAATATTTATATTTAGAGAGTATTTCAATCCTTTGCTTTGCTAGTGAAACGAGTTCGCATGGTTCCATGGAGAAGGAGACTTCGGGCTACATCATCTCAACGAGATCTATATTTGCAGATGGGGGCTGAGTATGTAAAACATGTGACAACAATCATGAAAAGTCATCTTAATTCGTTAAAATCATCTCCACTAGCAGCCTCTACTGAAGGTCGACACTGACTTCCTTATTCTTCATTTAGTCTCCCAATATAATGATATTATTAGTTTTTGACATATATTTGTATTTCAGAAGCTATTTCATGCTCATTACAATTGAAAAGTTCCGGTGAAGGCTCAGAGTCCGGTTCACTTTTCTACTTAAGACCTGGAAGTGGAGATTCGCATGTCTTGTAAGCTCAATATCTGAAACTTACATCCTTTTTCTATTGAAGCTCTCCCTGATTATTTGTTTTTAATAATTATTCATGTGCCTTTCTCAGCTATCCTGAGAACCCAACAGATGCACTTTACATAGAAGTAAGAGATATTAACAAGGGAACCCACGGGCGGGCAATAGTTGAAATCTCTTCTCTGGCTGACCATCATGTATGTTTCTTTTCTCGTTTTTAATAGTTGCCCATGTTAAACATGTTAACATCTTATTTATGTTTTATGGGGTTAAAACAGGGGGAAGTAGTTAGATGGTGGCCACTATACCTCGGGGATCATGAATGTATAGGCAAGGTTGAGCTTTGTATCAGTGTATCTGGCTCTTCTGAGAAGGCAAACCCTTCAAAGGTCTTAACAAGCTTTTAATTTTCTTCTATTTTTTTCCTGATTATGTTAATTATTTCCTAAACAAGTCTATATTCAAATATTAAATAAGTTTCCAGCCTCTTTATGATTTTTGTTACATTCAGGGTGGTCCAGTAGTTGAAACCCTTATCTACGATATGGTATTAGAGGCAGCAATGCGCGCTCAACATTTCCATCCGAAAAATTTGCACACAAATGGAGTGTGGAAGTGGCTGCTGAATGAGTTTGCTGATTATTATGGAGTATCAGAAGCATATACAAAGCTCAGGTACTCGAGATCAAAATTCTACAGAAAAGACTATAATTACAAGCTGGACATTTGCATGTTATTCTATATTTTTCTATCTAGAGTTTAACATTATAATGGCTCTTTATTTGTGGCATTTACTCCTAGGTATCTTTCAAATGTCATGAATATTGCTACACCCACTAAGGAGTGTCTGGAGCTTATCTATGAGCTCCTGTTACCTGTTGTAAAGGCTCGAAGTGAGAAATCTCTAACCAGACAAGAGGTATTTTTTCAGTTTCTATGTTATGGTAATGGAAACTACATGATGTCGAATAGTTAGCAGCTTATGTAGAAAAATATTTCATAACTTAATTTGGTAGGCCTTTGATCCCATACCTATGGTAATCAGACCTTTCTTGTTATATCTTTCGCTTACCAAACAAAGCATTATTCCATAATATTTCATCTCAATGGAGGATACATCATTGAGCCTGCGCTACAGTCTGACTTCTTCAACTATAGATACATTGCATGTACCTTTAGATGATCATATTATACTAGTCATGTAAGAATCATATTAGACCACTGTCAGTTTTACTTCTACAAAATCTTATGACCATAATGTCTTCAAGTAGCATAGTCTAATTAATTTTTATATTTTACAGAGAAGCATACTGTTAGATTGTGAAGATCAGATCAAAATGCTACTGGCAACTACTTTTCAGAACTACAAGTCACTGGACGAACTCTCTCCCACTGGGTTAACAGACATATTTGGTCCCATACCAGAGTCTGCAGCACCTGCTCTGGCACCTGCAGTGCAAATTTTCACCCTTCTTCATGATGTGCTGTCACCCGAAAGTCAAAGCATACTGAGAAATTATTTCTTGGTAAGTATCAGATATATAAACTTTTTTAGTTGGCATATGTCATCTGATTTGTACCTGAAATAAACTAGATTTGCTGAACACGCCCCCCCCCCCACCCCCCCCCAAAAAAACCAGAAAAAACACCCAACTCCCCCCCTCCCCCCCCAAACCAAAAAAACATTGTTTTTCTATTTAGAAATGAATAAGTTAATTCAACATTGGATAAGTATTTGCCCTTGAAATGCAAAAGGTTTATTTAAACTAACAAACCATTTGTTGAACAGACTGCAGCAGCAAAAAGGTGTAAGCGATATATGTTGGAGACTGAAGAGTTCATTTCAAGCAACACTGAAAGTTTTCTCACGGACGCTATGACCATCTCTACAGCTTATCTCAAAATGAAGACATTGTGTTTGAACATAAGCCATGAGATTGAAGCAGATATAAAGATACATAATCAGCACATACTTCCGAGGTATCTATGAGCAAACTTCCTATAGCATTTAATGATCTTTAGAAATTACATGGTAACAAGAACAAGGAATGGTTTTCTTTGCTTCATATTCGTTTTCTTGATTATTGTGAGAAATTTTCTCCTAATATTCTGAGAAATTTTCTCCTAATATGTTTATTTGGATAAGTTGCTGGTAGTCTTACATTACAAACTGCAATGAGTATGTTTTTTAGTTTGAGGTAGTGCAATGATCATTTCTTTAAGTTGAGAGCTTCCAAGGCAAATTCAATTTTGTAAAGGTTATCTGTTATTAAAACCTTGTTCAAAAACTTGTATGTTGTATGTTGAGAAAATATCTTTTTTAAATGAGACTGAAAGATTAGCATGCTTTGATGGTGCTGTTAATTAGGTTATCTGTTATTAAAACCTTGTTCAAAAACTTGTATGTTGTATGTTGAGAAAATATATTTTTTAAATGAGACTGAAAGATTAGCATGCTTTGATGGTGCTGTTAATTAGGTTATCTGTTATTAAAACCTTGTTCAAAAACTTGTATGTTGTATGTTGAGAAAATATCTTTTTTAAATGAGACTGAAAGATTAGCATGCTTTGATGGTGCTGTTAATTTAAAAGAATGAAAGAAAATGAAAAAAGATGACTACGGAATTTGGCTATGACATGGAACTTCAACTTTTTAGATGAGATGAATTTTAACTATAATTTGATTTTAAACGTTTCTAGACTGCATCTAAGTCCTCTCTCTAGTCAGAAATAGCGCGAAAGTCGGAATCTGTCCGACCTTGCAGAAGTAAGGGTCCGTTCGTTTGTACATGCAGCATCCACTTTGTGTTGACTCTTGTTCTTTCTTTCAATGCTGCTTTGATGGTGCTTTTAAATTGAAAAATTGGAAGAAAATGAAAAAAGATGATTATAGAATTTGGATATGTCATGGAACTTCAACTCTTGAGATGATAATAAATTTTATTCTATAATTTGATTTTAAATGTTGATGCATGTGCAGCATCTGATTTTAGCGTTGACGCATGTTCTTTCATTGCTAACGACTTGTTCATTTGATTTTTTCCCCTCAGCTCAATAGATCTACCAAATATATCTGCATCCCTTTACAGCACTGAGCTATGCAAGAGACTCCGAAGCTTTCTAGCTTCTTGTCCTCCATCCAAGCCCTCAACACATGTTACCAAACTGTTGATTGCTGCTGCAGATTTTGAGAGAAATCTTGCCTCATGGAGTATCAGGTTAGACCCAGATCAGAAACTTAACCCACTTATAGAAATGTTGCAGATGTTGTGGACACTTGAAAATATTTACAACTTTAGTGTATCTACTACTTGAAGAAGGAGATAGGTATGCGATTTATGATTAACTCGCGGATAATGTCTAATAAAGTGTGATGTCTTTTGCAGTCCTGTTCCTGGTGGCGTAGTTTCAAAAGACTTGTTTCATAATTACATCGTGGTTTGGATCCAAGATACCCAGCTTCAATTGCTTGACCTTTGCAAGGCTGAGAAGGTGACCTCTATCTTCTGAGTTTGATTTTTCTTTTCCCTTAAATTTATTTGGACAGCCTTTCTTCCTTTTCTTTTTATATGCTAACTTTTCTTGATACCTTATCATTTGAATCATATGATACCCATTCTTCGAGTTATTGAACTATTTAAGTGTTGACGAAATTTACTTTAGCCAAATAGTTTCTTGAAGCATCATCCTAGTTCAACTAGAATAAATTTGATCATTAACAAATATAGGGTATTCCTTATATACCACGCTGACAATAGTTATACTAAAAACATATTTGATTGCAAATTACAACGTCGCTCGCCAGATTTATTAGTAAATAGAGATTTAATTGTTTCTAATTTATAGTGAAACATTCTGTTGTTAGTTTCTAATTTGTAGTGAAACATTCTGTTGTTAATTTTACATGCTCATATGTTTTTTTTCAGAATATCAGTAATTCATTTGGAGTAGCTCGTATTATATATGTCATTTTCTTTGCTTTCTCATATTCTTTTCTTTGAAATAAACTCAGATCTTTTTAGGCCTATATCGCATAAGTTGTTTGTACTTATTTTCTCACTTTCTTTTTGTTGAAATAAACTCATATCTTTTTAGGCATAAATTTTATGCTTTAAGTTTTCTCGAAAGTTTATTCCTAATTCTTTAAGAAATATAGGTAGATTTTTGTTTTACTTTCCCCTGAACTTGGCCAGAAACTGACAGATCGCAAACTAGCAAGTACCCTTTTAAGCCAAAAAAATGAGCATATCTGGTAATTCATTTTGAAGGGGCTCATATAATATATGTAATTTTCTCCGCGTCACATTTTTTAAAATAATCTCAGATCTTTTCAGGCATATACATAAACCAATTTACACGAGTATTTCCCCCAAAAGTTTCTTCTTAATTCTTCAGGAAATTTTGACCAGAATTTGACAGATCTCAAACTAATGGTGGCAATTTTAAGCAGAAAACTGAGCACATATGAGGATTCAAACCTATTTCTATTCTTACAGGTGCTTCCTTATCAAATCTCAACACATTGTGCTACATCTCCTTTTGTTGAGAGCATGTATGATCAGATAAGAGCCAGCTTAAACGAGTATGAGGTTGTGATCAATAGGTGGCCTCAATACTTGCTAAACTTGGAAAGTGTAAGAAACTTACCTAAATATCACTATAACTTTGTTGAGATATTGACATTGACGTTTTGCTTTGAATTATTAGTTTGTGGCTGACATAGAAAGAGCAGTGATGAAAGCACTTGAGAAGCAATACTCTGATATATTGTTGCCTTTGAGAGACGGCATCCCGAAGATGATCGAAAAGCAGGTGCAGAAGTTTACAAGAAAACAATCTTGTATATCCCCCTATGTCGTCCCTAATCAAGTGAGTTCATTTTTTATGTATCTCTTACATTTTATGACAAAATGTTTGGTTAGTTTGAAGAAAAATCCTAGACATTCAGTAGAAATAATATACCAAATCTTTTTATTCTGAACAGAATCTTTAGAGAATTAACCTCAACTTGGAATCCTATATCGCTTTCTACCAATAAAATTGATCATAGAAATCATCTGATGTTTTCTTTTTCCTAATTGCTCTTCTTTGTCTGGCAGTTGGGGACATTTCTGAATACTGTCAAGAGAATTCTTGACGTGTTACACTGCAGGATCGAAGCTATTTTAAAATCGTGGGCATCATATTTGATTGTTGCTGACTCTAATCCAGTTTTCGGAGAGCAAATGAATGCAATCACTGTGATGTTAAGGAAAAAGTACAAAAAGTATATGGAATCGATTGTAGAGAAGCTCATTACCAATGTCAGTATGCATTACCCTTTTTCTTTTCTCCCCTTTCGGATTGTATTTTGATAGGCTAACTTTTATTTTTCTCAGGCACAAGCAAATAGGAGCACAAGGCTGAAAAGAATCCTGGAAGAGAGTAAAGAAACAGAGGGCGAAACAGACATCAGAGAGAGGATGCAGGCTCTTTCTTGCTCACAGCTGACGGATTGTATAAGAAATCTGTACAATGTTTTCTCGAGCAGAATCTTTGTAGCAATCTGTCGCGGTTTATGGGACAAAATGGGACAGGTATTATAATGTTCATCATATCTGATAAATTCTTTGTTTTTATATATATATATATACATATATATACATATTATATATATATATATATATATTATAATATATATATTATATACCTATAGGTATATATATATATCATTATAATATTATCATATATATATATATGAGAATATGGGTATGCTTGGTCCAAACCAAAAATTGTTAGTTAGTGAGGTGTCAAATCTACCCTCCACTTTATCAACTTGGGAACAAATTCACATGGTGTTTGATGGTGGCGATGGGATGTGACACATCACTACCACAGCCCAAAATTTGTTAACATTAGCATCCAAGCATACCCATATTTCTCTCTCTATTATACTATTACCTAAACCTTAGGACCTGATGAAATTTTGCTTTTCGAGTTTCAACTAGATTGTTTTGAGCTTCCTGAGAGCGAAAGAGACAGAATTGGTACAGAGGTCCAACTATGCTCTCAGGCGGAAGCTCTGTTCAACGCCACTCGTATGTGGATACTAAACCGGTATGATAATATGTCATGCTGCTGTTACATTAGTTGGCTGGATATTGGACGATCTTTTGCTTCGGAAATATGCAAAGGATATAAATTCTCTGCAGGATAAGGATCTGGATCCTCTGCGATCGTGGTCGAAGCACGATCTTATCCTATCTGCTGATGGACTTGTAGAAATCTGTCTGATATTTGTTGTGCTTTAATGTTAACAGTATATCTTTAGGATTCATCTGACCCCCAAAACCAACCCAAAAATATGATATATGATTCAATTCATTTTTTACAAGACAGAATAAAGTTTTAAATTGTATATGCCTGTGCCTTCTGTGTAAAGACATGAAATGATTGCCCCAATAATATATATGCATGTGTTGTAGCTCGATCCTTTCATTTGAACTTTGCAATGTCGATTAATACCACAAAAGACTTGGGGATCGATTGTGTTGTCATCCTGATAAATTTGGAGGGTTTCTCCCATATTGTACATTGCCTAGCATGCTTACATAAAATTCGTCGCATTTCCTCCCAAGATGTTTAGTGAAATATCTTGCCACTCCAAACAGTGATATTCTGTGGTATGCTTGCTTGGCTCTAATGATTCTTTCTCCATCTTCTCAAACGAATCCAGAGTGCGCAATACAATCATCTCTGTTGTTTCAAAACTCCATTTAAAGTAGCACGGAGAAAATAAACCCAAAAAGGGTTTGGGGTGTGTTTTGTGCGAATGGTCAGAAGGGTTTTTCTTTTTTTCGTGCGGTTGGTTTGGATTGGGGTGGGGGGTTTTCACAGAGCAGATTTTAAAAGTCTGGAAAAAGAGTAGTTTTATCGAAACTCGTCAATTTTCAGGGGCGGTATCGCCGAAATACAATCTTATAACCCCTTGAAAAGAGAAGCTAGTAGATTAGGAGTTTGGTAACGAATTCTACTACCCGAGTCTCATCTTCCTCGTGAGCTTTCAGACCCACTCCATAGATTCAGCTTCTGTAGCTCCCTAGATTACTTTGTTTAATTTATATGAAGCCACTGTGTTCAAGATTCAAGCTTGGATTTTGATCTTGGGGTGAGAATCTTTGAATCATCTATCATTTTAGATTATCGTAGGTGTCTGAGGCTCAGCGTGGGAGGGAATGAGCTGATGACGCCTGCTGGCTTAGGCCTTTCTCGAGTATGTGGTATTGGGTAATTGATTGATGGGCATTTAGATACTTCTGCTTCGCATACACATTTCCTGTTATCTTTGAGATATGAATAAGATTTGTTAGATTAGCAAGTTAAGGGTTTTTGAGGTGTACGCAACAATGTGATTGAGACTTTTGTTTAAAGTTAGTGAAAAGAGATTATCTTCTTGAAAAGACAAGTGAATTCGTTACCATTATCACAACATGAGATGAAGAAAATTGGTATTCTAGAATTAGTAAACATTATGAGAAACATTTTATCTAGGCGGGGTAATAAAGACTCAACACAAAACAAAATTCATTTGTGAGCTATTCGAAGAGATTTTGGGTGAAGCATGTTAACCTTGAATTTGCAGAAACACAACCAACAAATCAGGGAAAGTGGTTTGATACTGTACGCAAACAAAAGGAAGATTGAGGATAACATTCTGCAAACAATTGTGGATCAGAGAAGCAATTGATAATACAAGCAAATGAAGATGAATCTGACACTACAGAACATCGATAGGTCGTCCAAGTATGTATTTCTTCATTCAGCACGCGGAAAGTCCAGAAACTTAGGATCATTTTCAAAACCAACACTTTGGCTCTTAGCAATTTTATTTTTGACAAAAAACGCACCCGCAACCGCCTATTTGAAATAATTACAAAAACACCTGTTTTCAGGACCCAGCGCTTTGAAACAGGATCGGTTTTTGCTAAAAAGTCTTCCGAAACTTCACGGGATTCATCCGTGAAAGTTTATCGAGAAATTAAAACTTCACGGAAGAGTCTGAATACTCTCCGCTGAAGCCTTAATTTGCTTTAACAACTCCCCGGGAGCTTCAACTTCCCTTGGAGAGTTACGTCAGACAATATTTCAGGAACCGACGTCTCTGGCAATTGTGACTGCAACCTTCACGGAGTCTGAAATCCGGTGAAGTATGCGTCCACATTTTGCCAGAGATCGAGTCTCTCTTGGAATTTGGCACTGCAACTTCACGGATTTCAACTCCGAAGACAGTAGTGCCAGGTGCACCCAGTATGCACAGCGACTTCCTGTGCAGCGTTTTGTATATTACCTGTAACATCATATATTATGTCATTATTGCAACAACAATATTTTAAAAACCTCAATGATTCAACAAGAATTAATAACTGTTATACTATGCCAATTTATTTGCAAACAAAACCCCAATATATACTGATTCAACCTGAAATACAACACCACATTTGTTATATGAACAACAATTTATCTTCAAAATTCAGTATTTTGAAATTCAAGAAAGTTACAAAATTTAATCAAAATAAGTTCATTAAACCCAATATAGTTCCCCTCTTCCTGTCCTTCTCTTCCCCTCCCCCTCGCTCTTGTCCCCGCCCCCTGGGTTCCCGCTGGATGAGCCGCCCCAAACTATTCTGAGTATTCCGGCTGATGTATTGAAGCTGCGAGTGCCGGCTCCATCGGATGGCGATAGTGCGGCGTCAGGCATGCGAAGTCGCCGGCGTCGATCGGCATGCGAAGTGCCGCGTTCCATCAGGCGATGCGAAATGTGACCGCTCAATATCACGCGGCCGTCGACGTCGAGGCGTACGCCCGTCCAGAATGAATCGAGACCTGATCCATCACCGGATGCGACTCGTCGACGTGAGTCTATGGTAACACCTGCGCCTATGCTCCTTCTTGCATCCTGCTGAGGAGACCTAACGCCACCTGATCGTGAATTGTCAGTCACGTGCGCGATCAATATCCAGCATCACATGCTATCTAAACACGGACCTAGGTGGTAAACAACTTTATTTAAGTATCAACTCAATAAAAATATTATTATTTAGCTCTAGACACTTACGTATCTCTCTCGTTCACCACTACGATAGTAACTAAATCTTGTCGGTAAGGCGTGCATGGTGTCCAGCTACAAGCGCTGATGGGTCACGCGCGTGATCCATTCTACCGTGTGATACCCCATCAACGCATTACGTCGGTATGTCAACAGGCTGTGCCGAGCTCGACTCATCCTGTATGCCAATCCCACCTCTGAACACACTGCCGTATGTACGTCCGCACGGACTACGGGCGCAGTCAGTCCGGTGCGAGTGGTAGGGGCGCCAGGCCCGCGAGTTGATCTGTCCTGACAGGATCTGGACATATGCTGAGAGAGTGTAAAACTGCGTAGCCACACGGTCCGGTACATGCATCTCCTACGATCTCCAACAGATCAATTGGACTCTGGTTCTCCACAAGCGGCCCGGCACTATCTCGGACAGGTAGTGCAGAGATGTGATATCGGCTCCGGCGGTGTATAGGCTCGTCTCACTTGACGAAATAAAGTAAACATCTATGCTTATCATACAGAAAAACTATATATTTCATACTCTTGATTTTCATATCATTATACTGTATCCGTGCTGGATGCCATCAAGCTCATTTCGGTAAAAAACTGACGGTGACGCGTCGCTGATTTGTACTGAGCGTATCGCACGTTATACCATTATGAGGGAATAGCGAATATATAAGCTACAAATATTCAGGTTACGAATGCAATATGGTGTTGTACAATTATACACGTATGCCCAACGGTATACTGCCCCTCTAAGTCACGGTGCATAAGTAATTGGGTCGCTCACATATGATGACCGCTCCATGACCAAATCTGTATCAACGACAGCAGTCCCTTGAATTCGTTATATTCTGCATCAGAGATACTCTACTCATTCTCCGATACAAAATATGCCAACACCGCACTGCCCCACGATAGTGCCCGCATACACCAAAATCCTACACTTGGGCAGCCATGTGCTGTACGGAGTCTTGTCGCATCAGGAACTCAGTTACTGCACCCGGCCATCGCCCACCCTATCAGCTCCAATATGTATGCACCAGAGCATGAACTAGGAGCGTCTCATCCAGAGGCGATCCTCTGGTATGTCAGCCTGGAAATTGTCTGACGATCAGCACGATAGATTCATCGCAACCACTCCCTCAAGTCACGGGCACCTGTCCAATAGCGGCCACATACCTCCGGCCAACTATGCTATCGTCGGTGCCCGAACTACGGTCCATCATCGGCAGCCCAAGTATGACCAGGCCCGCCGCTGTAAAGTGATCGAGATGCAACTCCCCTCATGCAGGTGAAAGGTGTTCGGCCTCTGCCCACCCTCCTTCAATCAAAGCACCCTGATAAGCGGCCAATCCAAGCACTGATATAACGAACTCGTCGACACGGCGAAAACCTTGGACGCTGAGCGATCAATAAGCTGTACCCTCTCATCCTCTATGACCCATGGCCGAATGACTTATGGCGACATGCTCGATCATCGTGTACTCTGTACGGGCCATCACATAAAACGAAACATCGTTCTTACATATATTCATCTAAAAAATTACTTAATCGAAGAAATAATATATCTAATTTTATTCAGTATTACCTCTCCGAGACCAATACGCTTGAAATGACTGCGCTGAAGGTACAAAACGTCGCTCCCGGCATTTCCGTCCCGGAGCCATACATGATAGACTGGTGATCAATGATGATAGCATATATACCAAATGTGCAAATGACACCAGTATAATAATAAGCCATATTACAAATTGGTTCGGACATAGAATGCAAAACGTACTATAAAATGCATGGGTGTGAAATGAACGAGCTTGGCATACAGACATATTAAAAAATAACGAGTATCATACGCTTCAAAGATAACACATACGAATGACATAGTGCCAAAACGCGATACATAATACAAATCAACGCGTATACTAACTGCGACACCTATTTTTGTTGTGACCCGGTTGATCACATCGTACTTTTTTTTTTTTTTTTGTTTAAGGCACTTTATATTTCTCGTCCTAGTCCATTCACGATCGTCATCCATACTATTTCTAATAGCGCACGGCACCGACGGGCCTCCCCGCGATCTCTTAATATACGTCGCGAGGGTAAAATACTACCGTTTGGGGCCGATCTGGCTCCATGTCGGACTATCGCTATGGTGGACGAAAACACTCTTGTAGCGTTATGTTCGATAAAGATTGGTATGGCAAT